GTGCAGTGGACGGTAGAACTGAGAGGTGGAGAGACATTTCAGTTCTAAGTCCACCAGCACCCAAGGCCAGCACCACCCCTAGCCTTTTCAGTAAACTATACCAATACATTTCAGCTGAGTTTTTTCCTAGCTTGTAACTAGTAGAGCCCTTACTGATCCATCTTAAAGTTGTAAACAGAGTTCTAGCACCCTATATAAAGAGCCCAGGCATCTAGGGAACTAGAATTTTCCTCACCAAGATGGGAGTAATTATTCTTTATTCAAAGGCCCCTGAGAACTCTCAAGCTCCACTAGAAGAAGCTGTTTTAAAGAAAGTGAAGAAGAATCGTCAGTATTAATAGCCTTCATTAATAAGAAAATGTTAATAACCAATGTAAAATGTATATTTTTTCTGTTATAAGGCTCTGTTTTATAGTACGGAACTGTCCAACTTAAGGTTTGTTGAGAGTTTTTTAGAGCCATAATAGGGGAAGCAGCTACGTTTTGCCTAGCATTGAGTTAGGCAGCCTGTGGGCAATACAAACGAGTTATGTATACCCACCTGCGATACACATGTCAGGAGTCCAAGGAGCATGTTACAGAATAAATATATGATAAAGCATCTATTTTACAGACATCCATTCGTTCAACAAGCACTAAGAACCTACCATATGCCTATTTTTATGGACTATACCATATTTTTGTGGACTGAATATTTGTGTCCCCCGCAAAATTCATATGTTGAAATCCTGACCCCTAAGGTAAGAGTATTAGGAGGTGGGGCCTTTGAGAGGTAATTAGTTTGTGAAGGTGGAGCCCTCAGAAATGGGATTCATGCCCTTATAAAAGAAGCCTGAGAAAGCTCCCTTGCCCCTTCCACCATGTGAGGACACAGAGGAAAGATGCCATCTATGAACCTGGAAGAGGGCCCTCACCAGAGAGCCTTGATCTTGGACTTCTCAGCCTCTAGAGCTGGGAGAAATAAGTTTCTGTTTATAAGTACCCAGTCTATGGTATTTTTGTTATAACAGCCTGAATGGATTAAGACACCTATGTAGGGTGAGCTTATGCAATCATGCATAAGACATGATCCTGCTTTTAAGGGGCTTACAGCCTAGCAGAAGAAACATATATAAAAGTATGCAATATATTGCTGTGGGTACTATAACAGTACATAGGGAGATTAGGAAGAGCAACGTGTATTAATGAAAAATCTGGAGATTCGTTATGGACATTATAAACAATTTCTATACATAAGTAGCAGTTCATATACATTGGTACTGAAGAAATTCAAAATAGGAAAATGATTAATGGGAGTGGTGTTACTTCAAGAAGAATTTGTAAAGAAAATGAGTTGAACTGGGTTACAAAGAGTAAATATATAATAGACATTGATTGCCACTGAGTATAGGGACATAAGCTTAGCACTTAGATTGCTGCTGACTTTACACTAGTTTGGTGGCTTAAAATCAGTGCTGTGACGGAAACCCTTCTCTCTCATGGGCTAAACTGCACAACCACTATTCCGTGTCAGCATAAGAGGTCTTGGGTTCAAACTGATAATGTCTTAGTGTGGCAAGTCCTTTTGAAGCTTTCCTGAAGATGAGTAAGAATAGAGTAGAATTAGCCCCTCTTATTATCAGAAATGAGGAGAGAAACCTAGACAGCCCCGTTTTTCTCCTAGGAGTTGGGCAGACAGACTCTCATTATTTTAAGAAAATCTGATTTGCTGTATCTCCACTCAGAATCCAAGTTTTATACCTGTGATAAGAGGGTTAAATCCAACAAGCAGAGCCAGTACTGCAGGTATTGCATACACCACCTGTTAGCAAAAAGAGAGTGGATTATGTGGGTTAAGAAGTCTGTCCAATATATAGCATATATTGAAAAGTATGGAAGAAGTAAAGAAAGATGAGATCAGTGGCTGCATGCTCTATGATTTAGGTTTCCATAATGATTGAGGAGGTAGTAACCTCTGCTTTTACGGCACTTACCATGTCAGACTGTAATTGTATCTGACTTCCTCCTAGACTGTAGGCTATTCTGAGAAAAACTCATTCATCTTCAAGCTCCAGCACTGAGCATAGGGTTTGGATCTTACGACATTCTGACCTTACAGTCTCTCCCAAGCAACTTCCATGCCCAAATGGCCTTTCCCCACTTGCATGAAACATAAAATTCTTTGAAAAGTAGGGCAGGAGCAGCCATGATTAGCTAGGGGCCCTGCTGGGTTTGACACAATGGACCATCGACTAATGATGTATGAATCACATGTACCCAATCAGGGGTCAGGCTCTTCATTTTGGAAACTGCTGATAAATTGGTTTGGAAGTCAGAAGACTGGCTCTAAACAGGCCCTACTCATATTAGCTTAGGAGTAAGCTACTCTCAGCAAGCGGGCTATTGTTGCAGGCAGAGGGCAAGTAGGGAGGGCAGGTTTATAAGAAGCATGAGGACTTTCTGAGAAGCGTAGCTGTTTAACCACATCCATTATTATGCTTATGTCAGAAACCTTTAGTTTATTTGGAAGTTTTTAGAGCTGTATATTTTAAGTGGTTTGTTTTCAATATAAAAACATGTTTGTCTTGACCCTGGGGAGAGAGAGCATTTGGATCGCAGAGTCAGTGTTCATCTTCTCTTCTCCATCCCTAATTATATTGTAATATTGGTCAGTATTGACATTTGCAAGTCAGGTAATCTCTCACAGGTGGACAGTCATGCTACTGAGGGTTAGACTTTAATGTACACAGTGCCAAACTTTAATGTACACACGAATAACCTGGGGATCTTAGTAAAATGCAGATTGTGATTCTGGAGGTCTGGGGTAGGGCACAAGATTCTGGTTTTCTAACCAGCTCCCAGGTGCTGCTGCCGTTGTTCCAAAGGCCACACTTAGAACAGTAAGAGGTTACTTTTCCCCTAGAAAAGACACATGGCTTAGCCATAGAGAGAGAGAGAAAAGGCCACACTTAGAACAGTAAGAGGTTACTTTTCCCCTAGAAAAGACACATGGCTTAGCCAGAGAGAGAGAGAGAGAGAGAGAGAGAGAGAGCATGGCTTAGCCATAGAGAGAGAGAGAAAGAGAGACATACACATACACATGCACACACACAAAGAAGTTAAACACACATACACACAGGCATTACACAGTGTTTAATTGTGCTCTCTATAAGAAATGTTGGGCAGAGACTTTAAAAATGCATATCCAAATGCACCAGATATCTGTCATTAGTAGACTGAGGGGTCTAAAGCTTCTTATTTCAGTATATTGTAAATATATAAACAAAACAGTCCTTTAAACTACGTAACAGTTTCCTATGGCAATTGTAACCCA